AACAACAATTGTAGCCTGAATATCAGCTTCCTATTAAACTAACTTCTGACCATAGAGCTCTTTAAAAAAAAATTATTTCAGATACCTTATTATTTCAGCAAGGGCAAATAGCAAATATGCCTGACCTTTTTTCTTCTTATTTTTCTTTCTTTTAAACTGAAAGTATCTACCAAGAGATTCAGAACTAAAGCCAGTAAGTGTTTTTGGATTTATTGGACAGGACACGCTATGAGGAATCAGAATGAACAGGCCTTGCTAAGTTTCTTTCAGTTTACTACCTTAGTTCATACCTTTTTGTCCTGTCATGTTTCTGCACGACTTTGCACTCTTTATCAAACCTAGTATAAAAACGTTTCAGCTTAATCGTTTCTTTGAGTCTTCATTTTCTGATGAAGGCTCCTGTGTCATGTAAAACTTACATTAAATAAATGTGTATACTTTTCTCTTATTAATCTGTCTTTTGTTAGCCTAATTTATAGAGTCCCACCTGGAGAAAAGATGGATAAAGAGAAAAAGAGATTTTTTTTTTCCTTATCCTTCAGTACATATTAAAATTCAGGTAATTATATTCTTTTTAGTTTTTGAAAAAAGCTCAAAATGCCAGGTAAGTGCTTAGTCAGGAAGGAAAAAGCTTTATAATCTACTTTGTTCATGAGATGCTGTAACAATAAGCAGAACGTCTGTTCTGGAAGCATCTGTTATATCAATTACATGGCAAATTTTCAAGTTCTAGAATGCGAGAATTTGTAAGTGGTGAGAATTTTTGATAACCAAGAGAAGACAGGATCTAGAGAAGAGAGCAGGTAATGAGCTGAGAATATGTGAGCATGATCTTGATGGTGTCTGTGTTTTATTGCAAGCTAGAAATTAGGCGCTTTTACATGCAATATTTTTTTTTCCCCACAAAATGGTTCCCAAATAAACAGTTAAAGTGGTTTTAGGTGATTAAAGCAATATAGAAGATTAGTTTTGTTATGTATAATCACCTTTGCTTCTCCTTTATTGATGAAAAGAGCTTTTCTCAGTAGGTTGTGTTATCTATTTTAGATATTGCCTGATCTTGTTTTTTAAATGTAAATCAGCTTTTTAATCTTTTTTTATGTAAATTTGATAGCCAGTCCCAGCAATTATTCTGCTTTGTCGTAGCTCCCTCTTTAGAGCTGTCTCTATTTTATGTTTAATTGTCCTAATTGTCCAAATTTGAATAAACCTGGAGAACAGCAATGGAGATCATTACTTGTTTTTAAATTTACAAAAAGGTTTAAGCACTCCTTCCTGAACTGCTCTTTAATTCTTTACACTGTTAATTATGATCTGGGAGATTGGAAAACCTTGTTATTGTCCCTGGAGCTGCTACTCCAAATTATAGGTTTGTTTATTCTTGTGTTGCTACTTTATATCAGAGTTCTCTTTCTATGAACATGATAAAAAGCTCATCAGAGAAAATTTGTTAAGTTCACTTTTTAATCAGTCAGGATTTTAGCAAGGGGGTATTTAGGTGAAGAGGTATATTAGGTGGTTTTAGAGGTTGGAGCAAATAACTGCAGTCCTGGCAAGGGAATTCATCCATTTCATCTCTCCACCCCTCCACCTACTTACCTATCTATCAATCTATCAATTTTTGGAGGGCTTGAACTGGATGACATATCAATTCAATGGGATTATATTCTGACTTAATAATTTTTAGAAAATAGTAGATTAGATTCTAGGTCAAAACAGTCTGAATTTTAAAGTTGATTTAGCTCATAATTAAATTTGAAAAACCAAATACAGGAGAAAGCCAAGAAGGTCTTATCTCAGTTTATTGAGGTTCTTTATAGTTTGGGTTTTATGGCTTTGGTTCAAATCAAGGCCTTGGTCAGGAGGCAGGGCACTTGATTTAGCAGTTGAGCATGAGGCCCAATTATATCTAGTACATCTATGTCCAGCACACCTATGTCTGGTACAATGTCTCTAGCTAGAAATTTTTTTTCTATCATCATGCTGAGAAGCCATCTTTAATTCATTCACAGGTTCACTAAGCAGCTAGGGATATTTGGAATGAATAGATTGCATGTTAATTTCTGGTCAGTCTGACATGCTAGATTAGATGTGCTCAGTTATCAGTGAGAGACACACTTCATATAATATAGGAAGTCACATAGAGATATACAGATAACGAAATTCACTGATTTTTGTGGCCACATTTGTTCAGGACTGCCTAAAAGATTGAACCTGGCGATGACCTTGGACAAGTCTCTAAAACTCTCTGAGGTTAATTTCCCCATCTATGAGGTCAAGGATAGGAATAATTCTCACGGTCATAATATAAGGAGAACAGAGAAGCATCAGTGTTTTAAAGAAGCTCCATTATCATACACAAGGTCAGATCAAATGAAAATGAAATGTTCTCTTATAGCATCTCCGAGTTTCAGCAAGTGAATTCTAGTCATGCTTTGTATTCACAGACAGGAAATGTCTATTCAGAAGGAATGAATAATAGATAACTACTTTCTTTGCTTTACACCTAGTTATAATTCTACAACTAACATAATATTAAATGAGTTCCCTTCCTCCCAGTGATGTTTCATATTCTGGTTACATACTGTAACCTTAAAACTCAACGGCATGAAAAATCAAACAGCTGGGGAAAATGTATCTTTAATTTTCCCACCAATTTACCATCCCCTGCCCTCTTACTCCAGATTATCTGCCCAGTTCTTAGATAAATGGTGTATTCTAAGCCCCTCTACTATCATAAAGATGATGGACCCCAGCCAATCTTAGCTCCAGTTTCTCAGATCCAGTTTTTATTTGCTGGGTTTTAAAACTAAGGTTTGCTTTCACAGTGGTGTGTTAAATACCTCATTTGCTGAATCATACCTCAAATAAATCTAACAATTTTTTTTTTGTAATTGCATGTAAGTGTTCATTTTTGGTGTTAAGTAATTCATGAGTAGTAATTTATGTTTAGTAAGAAGTAGTAATAAATCTTAATCCGGCTCATAAGAATTGTAAACTATGTTATTAAATATGATATATTACCAGTAAGAAGAAAGGGAATTAGAGTGAAAGAATGACATAATTTTGACCTGGAAGAAATCATGTACAAAATCTTATTAACTGTTCATTGAAACAGTGAGGGAACAACGGGTCTGAGAGGAGAAATGACTTGTTCAAGGTCACACAGCTGGCTAGCTTCAGAGTTGGCCCTAAACCTCACAGTTTTTGGCGTCTGGTCCAACACACTTTCCATCACAACATGCAGCCTCTTAATTTGTTGGTTTTGGGTCAGAAATATAATTAACACAGGGCAGGAAGCCTAGATTATGAAAGAGTTGGAGGAGAATCTGATGAAAACCAAGCTTTTCTGAAAGTTCTGGGCAGTTAACCTGTTCTGTGATATATTCCTGGTGTCCACCTGAAATTGGAATTTGGCAAGTGGCTCCTCTTTCCTCTTTGACCTCCTGGTTCTCTTCCTAGACTGGTGATTTAAGAGATTACAGAGTGCACAAATTCTAGAAGAGTGAGAAAAGTAACATAATAATAAATAACAATAAACAAAAAAGTACAGAGGAAGTAAAAAAAGGGAAGAAAGTAGTACAGTAATAAAAGTACAGTTTCAACAATTCTGATGTGAGGTGATGAAGCAATGGATGGGGAATACCCATGCCAGAAGTTGAGCTGTGATAAAGAAAGAAAAGTAGGATGTGGTGTCTAATGATAATAAAAAATTATAGCAGCTTGAAAACCAAGATGGTGTAACTACAATAGGAGCAGAGTTTAGGGTTCTGATGCAGACCCGTTATCCACACAGACGACATGGGCTGCGGCCAAGTCACAGGGGATTGTAAATCAACCCCATACCCACACAGAGCCTATTTAAATGCACACACACATACAATACATACATGCATGTATATATATGTTGTAGGACTTTCCCCTTGGTTCAGCTAAAAGCCGGGTTCTTGTCACACAACCATGAAAGATTAGGCTCCCAGATGCTTTGAAGGGTGAGAAGTGCAGGGTTTACTGGGTGAAAAGGAAAAAAAGGGAAACAGGGACTCTCAGCAAAGCGAGAGTTTTGCTAGTAGGCTTCCCGCCTCACAGATTGATTTCCAGGTACAACCCCAGAACAGAAGAGGCCAGGCTCCTCCCCGCTGCAGACAGCATGAACTTCCTGAGGCTCCACCCCAGTGTGCGCTTCTCCCAGTGCGCAGGCTGGTTGGAGGTTCTCCAGTGACCCCTTTATACTTGGCTGTCTCCTATATACATATAGGTGCATAGGTTTGGTTCCCATACCATAGTGTGGGATTCTTTAGTTACCTGTATAATATCCATTGATAAAGAACATCTCCAGGAATTGTTTGAGATGCCTAATGGAACTCCTTAACAATTACAGTCAAGATTCCAAGAGAGGTAGCTAGGTAAGTTGCTTCTCTTACAGAATGGCTCATTCCACATTACACTTTGTTCAGACCTACTTAGTAATCACCAGTGTGCTCTCACAAGGTCCTGGGCTACTGGCTCTTGTGTCTTGATAGACACTCTTGGAAAGCTTATATGCTTATGTTGCATCAGTTAGCATCTGTAAAAATTATCTTCCAATATTCTTTGATACTGATTTTCTGGGGAGGGGGACCATGATGAGAATGTTGTATGGATCTGCTGACTCAGTCATTCAGAGGATCACCTCATTTGAGCCACCATATGAAACTCAGAAAACTGGATGTTTTAAGTCCTATAAAACATGATCATTCTTTTTGTTATTGGGTTATATTACCAAATCCAGTTGACTCCAACGTATAAATCAGAATGTCATCATTTAAATATGTATAATTATCTTAATATATTTATATGTTTATAGTTTAAAATAGTACCATAGTTTAAAATAGTAACATATAGTTTATAGTTTAAAATATAAGCATAAATTATGTTTATACTTTAATTTGTATATTAACGTATGTTTAATATATACTTAGATTTCTATTGACCCGATTATATGCATTCTCCATCCCTAGGAAGCATCTTTCTGCTATCAAGTTACCTGAGAAGTGAATTTTAATCAGAATGCTTGGTAAGCATAGAGTAAAAATTGCTCTGGGAGACTGTTTTATAGAAACTCTAGAAAAACCCAGGGAACTGTGCCAACTCCACAACTGTATATACTGTTTTAATGACCAGATAATGGAATCCCCAAACACAATTTTTTTTTTTTTAACAATTAAAAGCATGAGTTGTTTTGGAACAGAGACAGTGATGAGGAGCAGAATTGATAAGCCATATGGGATAGGCAGAATCGCCCTCCAAAGATGTCCAAGCCCTTATCCCTGGAACCTGTGGGTATGTTACTTTGCATATCACAGTGGACTTTGCAGATGTAATTAAGGTCTTGGACATGTATTATCCAGGTGGGCCCAATCTACTCACACAAGCCCTTCAAAGCAGAATTTTCTCTGCTTTGAAGTCATAGAGATGCAGTGGAATAGGAAGCAGGAGAGGGAATCAGAGAGATTCTAAGTGTGAGAAGGGTTTGAAGTGCTGTTGCTTGCTCTGAGATGTGGGGGGCCACCGGCAAGGACTGAAGAGGTCTTTGGGAGCTAAGGGCAATCCCCCGCTGATAGCCAGCAAAGAAAGCAGGAACCTCAATCCTACAACTCCAAGAACAAAATGTTGCCAACAACCTGAATTTGGAAGCAGATTCCTCCCCAGAGCCTCCAAAAATGAATGTGGCTCTGCCAACACCCTGATTTGGCCTTATGGAACCTGGAGCAGAGGAACCAATTGAGCCAAGATCTGCCCAGACTTCTGACCCATGGATATGGCAAGATAATAAACGAGTGTTGTGTTAAGCCTTTATATTTGTGGTAACTTGTTTCAGTAGTAATAAAAAATCAAAATGCTATATTAATATGTTCAAGTTCAGTCTAAAAAAAAATCCCAGGGGAAAAAACAAACAAACCACAGTTGTGCATGTGCCCACCTCCCCTTTTCCCAAACAGAATTCAAGAGACAAGGACAGTGAAATACCAGATAGGTCGTTCAAGCACCAACTGTTATCTGTAAGATATAATGAAAAGTAAACATCTGGTTCTTTGCATAATTTTGATCAAAGGAGCATATTATGTGTTGTGTACATTTGGAGGAAAACCAACTGCATTAGGATTTTCATCAGGGAAGAACTGTACAGGTGTCAAACGGGTCTGGGACACTGAGCCACTACTCCACACTTCACGTTATCGTGATCAAGGAGAGAGATTGCACATCTAACTTGAGTGAGGGAGTGAGCAGTCATCGAGCGCCCAATAGAAGGTCCAGGCTTCCTCAGTTGACATACTGGGTGGAAAATATGATGGAATCAAAAGAAAGAGGAAAGAGAGGAGGATTTTCTTCTGGGCCCTCTTTTTATGCTCATCACTCACCTGCAGTTGACTCATGTCTGCTGGCTGCTGCTCAGGCCAGTGTTCCTGTAGTGCTCTTATCATGGGTTAGTTTTATTTATACTTTATTTATTTTTTGTTTATTTAATTATTTTTTGAGATGGAGTCTTTCTCTGTTGCCCAGGTTCGAGTACAGTGGCGCAATCTCAGCTCACTACAGCCTCTGCCTCCTGGGTTCAAGCAATTCTCCTGCCTCAGCCTTCCGAGCAGCTGAGACTAGAGGCATACACTACCATGCCCAGCTAATTTTTGTATTTTTAGTAGAGATGGGGTTTCACTATCTTGACCAGGCTGGTCTTGAACTCGTGACCTCTGGTGATCTGCCTGCCTGGGCCTCCCAAAGTGCTGGCATTACAGGTGTGAGCCACTGTGCCCGGCCTATTTATACATTATAAGAGCTCCTTTCAGAGTTCTAGGGAACTTGAATATGGCATCCATATAGCTTTATAATGGATTTGTGCTGTTTCTGCTCACCTAGTATCTTTTCTTCTGGTAATAACACCCTGACTGTTTGGGAGAGGAATCATTCACCCACCTCCCCACATACTTTTTGTTTGAACCACTCCTGACCCCTCCTCGTGGATCTGGGGTTGGGCATATATGATCCAGGGCTGGCTCATCCACATGTATTTTTCTCTCTTGCCATAGGAATTTGTTTGCAGATGTGGCAAAACAAAAACAAAACAGTTCAAAGAGCACCAGGACTTTTTCTGAGACTGTTGCAATGGCAGTACTCTTTTTCCAATGGCATTGCTAAATCTGTGGGATGAATGCTCAGATCACTGGTGATCCTCTTGCCATTTATGTGACAAGGGCCTCTTTGGGAGTGAAGTCAGCACAGACAAAGCAGAACTGAGAAAATGAGATGAAACAACTACTTGACACCATTGTCTGAGCATCTAGATCCAGCTGAGTCTCTGGATTTTCCCGGGACTTTTTCAGTGCCTTGGTTTAAACTAACGTGAAATGGGTTTTTCTCCTGAGACATAGAAAGATTCCTGACAAACCTACTTCAGTTAGCATGTCAATGCTGATGACTTGCAAGTCTCATTACCTCTGTAATAATTCATTTGCAGTTACCTTTAGAGCATTGACACTGGAGACAACTTCTGACACCAAGTCTTGAATGTGTTGAAACTTAGCTGGGCCAGGTGCGGTGGCTCATGCCTGTAATCTCAGCACTTTGGGAAGCTGAGGTGGGTGGATCATCTGAGGTCAGGAGTTTGAGACCAGCTTGGTCAACATGGCAAAACCCCGCCTCTACTAAAAACACAAAAATTAGCCGGGAATGGTGGCAGGTGCCTGTAATACCAGCTACTTGGGAGGCTGAGGCAGGAGAATCACTTGAACCTGGGAGGCAGAGGTTGCAATGAGCTGAGATCATGCCACTGCATTCCAGCCTGGGCGACAGAGCGAGACTCTATCTCAAAAATAAATAAATAAATAAATACATAAATACATAAATAAATAAACTGAGCTCATGATGGTCTTCTCTTTACTCTTCTTCCTATCATTGGTTATGCCCCCTCCTCTCATGCCCCTTGACCGTGCCTCTCTTTCTATTAGGTTTGGAGATATTGTAATGGAGCCTTTTTGGGCAAGTAAGAATTTCTTCACCCCCTTCTTCTGTTAGCCTCCCCCCATTCCCTTGGGCATCCTCTCTCACACTCTGTGTTGGTTGGGTGGCTCTTCCACCCACAATTGGTGCATCACTCTGCTGGTGACTATAATTGGGCCAGGGATGGACACATGATCCAGGCTGGTTTTTTTCACTTGTAATCTAAATAGTCCTAACCACAATAGTCCTAAATAATCCTAACAAGTAAAGTTTCTGCCATCTCTTCCTCTGCCCACCTCCAAGCAGCCTGCTGTATTCTCAGGTCCTACAGTCTTGGGAGTTTCTATTTTGTTTTTTTCTTTCCATCTAAATTAACAACAATTGTCCTAATTATGTAACTATATATGTCAGAAATAAACAATGTTGAAATGTAGAAAATATAAACAGGTGTAGAGGAGATTTCTTTTGTCCACTCTGCTAGGTTCACAGCTAGGGCTCTTATAATAAAGGCAGATTAATAAGGGAAAAGCATAGACATTTATTTAATAGAAGTTTTACATGGCATAGGAGCCTTAATAAATAAAGATCCAAAGAGACAGGGAAACCCATGTATTTTCATGTTAAGTTTAAGGAAGAAAAGAATAGTCATGGAAAAGTATTATTAGACAAAGAGGCTATGAGCTAATCGTAATAAACTGGGGGGACTTAGCAAGGCCTGTTTGTTCAGATTCTTCCCTGTCTCTTTAGCGATAAAGATGTTCCTTTCCTCCAGTTATAGGGTGGAAAGAAGGTTTTATGATCTATTTCAGGGGAAGTTCAGCGAGATGTTTTTTTGTTTGTTTGTTTGTTTTGGCAGAGTTTCGCTCTTGTTGCCCAGTCTGGAGTGCAGTGGTGTGATCTTGGCTCACTGCAACCTCCGCCTCCCAGGTTCAAGCAATTCTCCTGCCTCAGCCTCCCAAGTAGCTGGCATGCACCACCACGCCCCTGTTAATTTTTTTTTTGTATTTTTAGTAGAGACGAGTTTTCACCATGTTGGTCAGGCTGGTTTTGAACTCCTGACCTCAGGTGATCCACCCACCTTGGCCTCCCAAAGTGCTGGGATTACGGGCATGAGTTACCACGCCTGGCCTCAGCTAGGTTTTATAGCCTACTTTAGGGGAGAAGAGGCAATGTCAAGGTGAGAATGAACTTCCTGCTTCTGCTGTTTTCTCAAATGCCAAGGTACCATATTTTAGGGTAGCATGTACTGAACTTCAGCACAGGTATACAACAGAAATATGATTCACTCCTCCTAAGGGTTCATGTAATTATATTAGGGTCACCTGGATAACCATGTCTGTAATGTTAATTACATCTGCAAAGTCCACTGTGATATGCAAAGTAACATATTTCACAGATTCCAGGGATGAGGGCTTGGACATCTTTAAAGGGCGATTCTGCCCATCCCATAGAGCTTATCAGTTTTGCTTCTCATCACTCTCTCTGTTCCAAAACAACTCATGCTTTTAATGGTAAAAGTCCACTGTATTTGGGGATTCCGTTATCTGATCATTAGAACAGCATATGCAGTTGTGGAGCAGGCATATTTCACTGGGTTTTTCTAGAGTTTCTGTAAAACACTCTCCCAGAGCAATTTTTACTCTATGATTCTGATTAAAATTCAAGTAGCATTCTGATTAAAATTCACATCTCAGGGAACTTGATGTCAGGAAGTTACTTCCTAGGAAAGAGAATGCAAATAATTGAGTTGATAGATATTAAAAAATATATATCAAATATAAGTGTAAGTTAATATACTAATTACAGTATAAATATAAAATCTAAATTATAAATATATACATTGGCCAGTGGTGGCTCATGCCTATAATCCCAGCATTTTCAGAGGCCAAGTCGGGAGGATCACTTGAGGCCAGGAGTTTGAGACCAGCCTGGGCAACAAGGCGAAATCCCATCTCTACAAAAAATTTTTAAAAAATCAGCCAGGCATGATGGTGTGTGCCTGTAGTTCTAGCTACCAAGGAGGCTAAGGTGGGAAAATCACTTAAGCCTGGAGGTCAAGGTTGCAGTGAGCCATGATTGTGCCACTGCACTCCAGCCTGAGCAACAGAGCAGGACCCTGTCTCAAAAAAAAAAAAAAAAAAAAAAAATATATATATATATATAAAAATGTAATCTATTATCTGTAATCTATAAATATATAATACATAATTATTATAATCTATAATTAGGCCATTGGCCTAAAATGCTGACATTTTTGTTTATTTCCTTTAAGTTAGTTTATATATTCATTTATCTACTCAATGTTATTTCAATTTATTTGCGTCTGATACATTCAGGTCTAGTGGTTGATCAGTTCATTAGAATATTCAGTTGAAACAGAAATTATAAAAAATGATAAATGCAGTCAGATAATATACAAATTACAGTCCTTTAGTTATCTTTTGACATAGGGCTGAGGCCTTTTCTTTGAGCATGGGTCTGCTGTGTAAAGTCTGCATTGTCTTTCTTGCATTAAATACACACATAACGTTCTAATTTTCCATTCTAATCTATTTAAAGTGGAGTGAATTCACAATAGCAAAGACATGGAATCAACCCAAATGCCCATCAGTGACAGACTGGATAAAGAAAATGTGGTACATATACATCATGGAATAATACTATGGAGCCATAAAAAGGAATGAAATCATGTCCTTTGCAGGGACATGGATGGAGTTGAGAACCATTATCCTCAGCAAGCTAATGAAAGAACAGAAAACCAAATACTGTATGTTCTCACTCGTAAGTGGGAGCTGAACAATGAGAACACACGGACACAGGGAGGAAAACAACACACACTGGGACCTGTCGGGGGGTCGGGGGAGGGAGAGAATCAGGAAAATAGCTAATGCATTCTGGGTTTAACACTTAGATGATGGGTTGATAGGTGCAGCAAACCACCATGGCACACATTTACCTATGTAACAAACCTGCACATCCTGCACATGTACTCTGAAACTTAAAACAAAAATAGAGTGAGAACATAGAACGATTTGCCAAGCAGTTTGAGTAAACAATTCTAGAATTTTATTTATTTTGCCCCCAAATTTCACAGTTGTCCTCATGTAATTGATGGCATATCTCCCAATAACTCACCTTTATTGAGTGCAAGGATTCAAACAAGTTTTTATAAAAGCAACTCTCTTCACGTTGACATTTCCTTTGTTTTCATAATTGATTAAATTATAACAAAAATGAATGGTGTTGACAGTTCTGGGAAAGTAACTGATTTTAGGTAAACTCAGAAGAGTTCAATTTATAGAAGTAGAATCAGAGTCTCTTAGAGATGAGTTGCCTGACAATTCATTCATTCATCCATTATTTATGTATTTGCTGACTACTGTATGCCAGGCACTGCTTTGGGATCCAGGTATACAGAAATGAACAGAAGTGGCAAAAACCATTGTGTGCTGGAGCTTCTGTTTGGCACTAGCATGCACTGTGC